GTTACCATACTCTTGGAAGGGTAAATGACATTAGCAAAGTGTAAAGACAGCAGCACCATGTATTTGACTATTACTGATTCTTTCTGCTAAAATAATGGTTCTTAATTAACAACAATTTGTATAATGCATCCAGGTACTTCAGTATCTCTGTGTGAGTTCCTTCAGTTGCAGATAAAGGATAATTGAGGACAGAAATGACAATCATCTTCTTGAAAGGCCTGCAGGAAGTTAAAATTTGAGCTTGCAAAGACTTGGGGAAATGAAATTTGGATCTTTGACTCCAAGAGTATGGTAACTACAGAAACTGTGACAGAAAAGAAAGGTTGAAGTAAGAGTCTATGTCCCTTCCAAGGACTTTGGTGGAGGACTAAAGAATGGGTTTTCTTCATAATTAAAAGCAGATAATTTAAGGTTCTTGAACTAAGGAAAGATATGATGAAACCAGGGTGCTAAGAGATTTATGATTGCATAAAAATTATAGGGAAGAAAAAATAATTACTGAGGTTCCCGTGTTACTCTATCTCTTTTTATTTAACCAACTTTTCATATAAAATGTCTTCAAGTGGCATTATATATAATTTTTTTTATAGCCAGGCATGGTGGCACACACCTTTAATCCCAGCACTTGGGAGGCAGAGGCAGGCGGATCTCTGTGAGTTCAAGGTCAGCCTGGTCTACATAGTGAGTTCCAGGACAGCTGGGGCTACAGGGAGATCCTGCCTCAAAAAAAAAAACAGAAAAAAAGGAAGCAAGGAAGGAATGCACACAAAAAAAAAAAAAAAAAGAAAAAAAGAAAGGAAGCAAGGAAGGAGGAAAGATGAAAGAAAAAGAAAGAAAAGAAAGAAAGAGAGAGAGAGAAAGAAGGAAGAAAGAAAGAGAAAGAAGGAAGGAAGGAAGAAAGAAAGGAAGAGAGAGAGAGAGAAAGGACAGAGAAAGAAAGAGAAAGAAAGAGAGAGACTTTAGTCAAGGAAGGAAGGAAGGAAGGAAGGAAGGAAGGAAGGAAGGAAGAGAGAAAGGACAGAGAAAGAAAAGAGAGAAAGGAAACTTTAGTGTGAAAGTGCTTTTGGAATCTAGCTTTGAGGAGGAAAAGCTAGCTTCGTTTTGCCTAATACTTAAGTGCTGATGGTCCTTTGGAAGTGGCCTACACTGAAGTGAGGGTTGGAGTTGGCATGGCCAATGAGTGAATTCTGGGAATCCAAAAAGTGCATAAGACCTAAGTGGGGCCCATCTCTTAACGCAACTCCCAAGGAATACTAACAGCTGAGTGAGTCCTACTTCCTCCTATCAACAAATCCAATGTTCATGATACACACTACATTTTGCATTTGTTTTTAAGGTCATCATCAGCTCCAGAAGTGGATCCTGGGTAATGAGCCGAGTCTGGGACAGTGGCTATCCTTGGGACATGATGTTTATCACTCGTTTTCAAACCTTCCTCAAGAACAACTTGCCAACAGCCATCTCTGACTGGTGGTACATGAGGCAGATGAACGCAAGATTCAAGCATGAGAACTATGGCTTGATGCCTTTAAATGGGTAATGTGGAGTTAAACATGATGTGTCTATTGACTTTTATTTCAGTGTCAACAACCCTTGATGTGTGTTGTAACCCCAAAACAAATCAAAATATTCATGTAGAAAACACATCTCATATATCAGAGGATAAAGAACTGCAAATATTAAGAGTGATTTCCACACACCTCCAGATTTACACAACTGGAAAGTTAGATAACACTTCAGTAATTGGTTCCCACAGTGATGATAATAAAAATAAACATGCCCCTTAGGCACTTAATATATTATCAGTCTTACATAATGTCTCCTACGGCTCTGGAATATATTATGACACTTAACCTCGCAGCTATGGAAAGGGTTCTGTTAATATCCATGTTTTACAGAGGAGAAAACTGAAGTACAATACAGTTAATAATCTTACCAAAGTCCCACATCCAGGAAGTAGAAGCAATCTTCAGTGTAAACCCAGATCTGTTGATTCCAACTCTCTGTTCTTCAGCCACCTGCTCTACCGCCTCCCACTTCAAGGCCAAGTTAAGCCTAGCAAAAGAACTCTTCCTTTGTTACACTCTTGTCACACACCCTTTCATGGAACCCTCTCACTGAACAAGTCCTACCCCACGTCTTCCATCTTCATTTCGCCCCTTAATTTCTCCTATAACTCCATTAAGCCCATTACATGGTAAGAAATTACTTTAATCCCAAACTTTTTACACGTTTTTACTGAGTTCATGAATTTGGCAAATACAAATATTTGTGTGTATTGGATTCTGAGTTAAGCCTCCTTGAATACACCATTGACTAGAACAAGCAGAAAACTGTCTTCCTTGAGCACACTCCAAGTAGCAGGAAACAGACAATAAAAGTTTATCAGAAGACCACATGGTGGTGTGTGTTATGGAGAGGAACCCAGGACAAGCAAGGGTGATGCAAAACACCATTGGGACAGTTTTCAATAGATCTTCGAAGTGGATCTCAGAGAGAAGAGCACTTTTAAGCAAAGCCCTAAAGGAGATGAGGAAATGAACCAGAAGGCTATCTAGGTTAAGTGCTACAAAGGATACAGGCAAAGGCCTCTTTGGAGGCAGGGCTGGCGTAATCAACAGGCAGCAGTGAACTCATCCCAGAGAAACAAGGACAATACCAGGAAAGAAACCAGAGACATGAAAAAGCAACAAGTGTTGACAATATTAGTGACAAGATCTAAGTTAATACTGGGGATAGTTTAGTTCACCAGTCATCATTCAGTATAAAGTAGGATGTGTGCAGAAGTATAAAGCACCAGTTCAGAAGCTATTGTCATAACTGAGGATATAGCTCAGTGTGTGTCTAGAATGTGTGAGGCCATAGGATCAATCCTCAGTACCAAGAGAAAGAGAATATGCTCTCTCTCGAAGCAACTGTCAAAAAATCAAGGTAAGGGCTGGAGCAATGGCACAGTGGTTAGGAGCACCAGTTGCTCTTGCAGAGGGCCTGGGTTTGATTCCCAGCACCCACATGGAAGCTAATAACTGCTCTTAACTCCAGTTCCAGGGGATCCAACACCCTCTTCTGACCTCCACAAGCATTGTGCAACATGGGTGCACTTACATACATGCAGACAATATACTCATACACATAAAATAAAAATAATAAAGAAATATTTTTTTAAAACAAGATGACAGAGATTGGTGGCCAGGACTAGAGTCCATTAGCAGTGAGTGGTCAGAGGTAAGCAAGTGCTGTGTGTAGGTCAAAGAGAGACACAAACGAGATTTTCTGTTAGATTTGGCAAAAAGTGTGAAGAAAGAAAGGGTTCAAGAATATCTTCAAGACTTTGTATCTAAGAAAGAATACAGCTGATGTTTACTGAGATATAGAAACCTCTGGGAAGAACAGAGATTTAGTTCTAGACAAATCAAAGCTGAGATGCCATAATGCAGAAAATTACATTGAATGGCAGAAAAGAGGTTAAATTTGACTGTCTATTGAGGGATGAGTGTGAGTGGAGAAAGAGAAGGCAAAAAGACTGCAGTCTGAGTCCTGAGGTATACACCATTGTTCAGAAGTCAGAGCAAAGGAAACATCAGCAGGAGACAGTAAGGAGTTGGTAGGAAAGGAACTGAAAGTGATGACCTTTGCAAGATAAAGACAGTGTTTCAGGAAGGAAGACGCCATCCTCTGTGTCAAGTACTGCTGATAAGTTGAGCAAAATAAGAGAGTGGGCCAGGGAACCCAGTAGCTTTAGTCTGGTGGCCGTGGCAAGTGTGTGGTCTCAGGAAGGTCCGGATGGTTAATGACAGATGGTAATGGGTTTTAAACAAACAGCAGGTAGAAGTGCAGCTGAGTCTAGCATTTTCACTTTCTTCTCTGAAGGAACCCACCTGTAGCTTTTTCTCATGAGTGTTGCACTCATATAATAACATAGTTCTTTCCTTCCATATTAATATCTAAGTGTGGATTGATCTATATACACTAGAGATTTTACTGAGTAAAACTAAGCTTTCTTTTCAGATCTCCAGGGGTCAATCCTTCAAACTGGTCTCCCCTTCTAGCCTTATCTGAGCCCTTAGTGCTCTGTCCCTGGCCTGAGCTGTCGCAATGCCATGGGGCTCATATTCTGCCCCTCTAGGAGAACCGAGGTGCAGTTTTCTCATTTTTTGCTTTCTTCCTCCTAAGTTTCTTTATCTTACCATGACCAGTGTGGAGTGTATTATATGAGAACAGAAGCTAGCATTGCTAGCACTATGGCTGTGCTACAGAACACCAAATTCTTCATATTGTCTTGGTCTTCTAGTAACTTAAGATAAGTGATATTGTCATCCCAGAAGAGAAAAATGAGACACAGAGAATTTAAGAAATCTTAATCTTCTCAAACTTCATAGGTATTCTTGCATTAGAACTTTCTTGGCATGGGTTTTGATGATGCCTGTGTGTGAATGTTCACTCTGAGATATGGAATGAGCTACATGGATAAGAAAGAACAAGTCAAAAGCAGCTTCTCTTCCACATGGCTTCATATCAGCTTCGTTCTTCAGGTGTATTGGTGCTATTCCACGGCTCAGAAAAAAAAAAAATCTTTGGTTAATTTTTTTTCCTCCTTTAACAATCTGCATAAGTACCTATAAGAAAAAGAGGAAGTATTACTGTTGTAATGATTGCCTCTGCTTTCCATTTAGAACCCTGAGGAAAGAACCCGTGTTCAATGATGAGCTCCCAGCACGCATTCTGTGTGGTACTGTGTCCATCAAGCCTAATGTGAAGGAGTTCACAGAGACCTCTGCCATTTTTGAGGATGGAACTGTGTTTGAAGCCATTGACTGTGTCATCTTTGCAACAGGCTATGGCTATGCCTACCCCTTCCTAGATGACTCCATCATTAAAAGCAGAAAAAATGAGGTCACCTTATATAAAGGCATCTTCCCTCCTCAACTAGAGAAATCAACCATGGCAGTAATTGGCCTTGTCCAGTCTCTAGGGGCTGCCATTCCCACAACTGACCTGCAGGCCCGCTGGGCTACACAAGTAATAAAGGGTAAGTGGACCAAAAAGTTTACTAATCAATGTCAATGAGAATGTTTTTGAATATTTATCCTAATTACAAGGGACCCATACAGCTTTTAAGAATCTATAATTCTATTTTCTTTGGCAATATATTTTATATGCAATTTGAAATATATATCATTAAGGTATTATAGGCAATAGCAAGATATTATTAGGGGAGTTTTGTCACTTATAATTCCTTAGCACTAACAATTACCCAAGATCATTAGACAAGAACTCCAGAATTCTTGGTCCTAAATGCATGATAACTTTATTAAATTGTCATTTCGAAATTGAATAAAAATTGGGTGTGCTGACTCATGCCTTTAACCCCAGTACTCAGGAGGCAGAGGCAGGTATATCTCTGTGAGATCAAGGCCAGCCTGGTCTCCATAGCAAGTTCCAGGTCAGTTGAGGTTACAAGGTGACCCTGTCTCAAAAAGAATTACACTGCTCACACAGGTGACAAGGAAAGCTGTTTCCAAGCCAGTGTCCAGCCAGCCTCAGATATCTACAGTCATGGAAAGCTCTTTCTGGGAAAGCAGTGGCTTCCTTATCTGCTGTTGATTTCTTCCCTATAGTATGTTAGTGACAGACAAGCAGTAGATGACTAGAGACAGAAAGTACTAGGTATGGTAGATGCTCAGTATCTAAGATACAAAAGTACAAAATATCTATATTTCAAAAAATAGGAAACAATAGACTTGATTAGGGGGAGGCAAGGAAGACAGCCAGCATATATGGAAGCAGGTACTGGGATCAGACTCACAGTAACATCTGAATGAAGTTGTATACTTGTGGATACATGCGTATCTTAAGACTAAGCGGGGTCATAAAGAAAACGAGATATCAAATTATACTGGGCTAAGTTTAGTTGAACTTTAAGTGTGAAACTTCTTGTTTTAGCAGCTGAGTTCCTTTTGAAGTCATAGCTAACGCTTCTAGTACTACCCTGACATGCTGGAGCTTAAAGACTTCGTTTATGGAGAGGCTTAGAGCAGGCCACTGTATATCCTGGGCTGCCAGGGCACCACACACATCATTTAATCCTAGTCGTTAGTGCTTTCCCAGGCTCTCCTTTGCTCCCACCCACCCAGGCAGAGATTGGGGGCGACCCCAGAGAGCAAAGTCACCCCAGGAAAGCAATAGTGGGAAGGAGAGGGTATCAGATGCCACTCAGCACTCAGATTCTGCCTGGTTCAGATCAGGGAGACTGGAATAAAAGAAAGGATCGATCACTAACTCTGTGAGGTCAAAAGCTGTCATTTGGGCTCTGATGAAAAAATAAAAATAAAGTGTGGTTGGAGAGATGGCTCAGTAACTAAGGCACTTGCCACCAAACCCAACTATCTGAGCTCCATTCTGGGACCCATATGGTAGAAGGAGAAAACTGACCTCTGTCTCCCCTGACCTCCACATGTACACCATGGCAGGAGTGTACACACACACACACATACATACACACACACACACACACACACACACACACACACAGTATCATTCACTCAATGCAAGCATAATTTTGAAAGAAGAAAGGAAAATAGGCAATTGATAAGGAATTGATGTACAAGGCAAAATCTCAGCCTTAGATGAAATAGCATATTAATCAAACAACTTAGTTTTAGAGAATCAGAACATCAGGTACTGATGTGCTGGGGACTTAGTTCAGTGGTGAGCACTTGCCTAACAAACACAAGGCCCTGGCTCTGGTTCCCAGCACTAATAAAAGAAAAATCAGGATACCAGGTCAGAGGGGCCAGTTTCCAGTAGCTGGTAGGCTACTGAACATAGTTCTTACCTCCTGATCTCTTCACCCACCCCAGGCCATATCTACAAAAGCTGTTCAATGACCCTGAAAGGATAGCAGGAACAGGGAATTAAACAAGTCACTGTAAAGATTGAAAAAAATAGTATTTTGGGATAAATTCTGATGTCATTCAAAAGTAAATAAATCATCCTACATTTTAAGTATCTCTTAGTATAAAAACATATTTTGGTCTGCATTTCAGAGACCTGTGCAAACCCACTGGAGATTATGATTCTGGAGCATCTTTAAGGCATTCTGTCATCTGGTGTTCCTTTTCATCCTTGGTGACTTTAAGGCAGTCTGTAATTTCAGTCATGATTTAATAATTGTCTCTACACAGAGAGATTTGGGGCTTCACTAAACCCTTAATCTTATCTGCTGGAATTACCTGCTTTGACAAAGCAAGAGTATTTCCTAGGAGGAATTCAGGCTGGGTAGATGGCTCAGTCCATAAAGGGATGGCTATAAAAACCTGAGAACCTGAGTTCAGATCCCCAGCACCCATGAAAAAAAGTCAGGCATGTCACTCATGCAACCTCAGCACTTGGGGCAGGCAGAGACAAGAGGGTCCCTGGGCCTTTCTGGAGAGATAGACTAGCTAATGGGTAAGCTCCAGGTTCAGTGACAGACCCTGTCTCAAGAGAGAAGGTGGAGAATGATGGAGGGAAGACACCTGAGGTTGACCCGTGGCCTCCACATGAAGACACATGCACACATATGCTTACACACACATGTGCACACATAGATGCACAAAAATAATCTTGAAAAAAATATCCTCAATTTACCTTTGTTTGGATATAATTTACAGAAAAACTTTTTAAAAATGTGGTTGATAGTTTAGAATATGACCCTTCAATTGATATTAAAATCTGTTATCTTTAAGAACCAAGATAAAAGATAATTGTGTAGTGGCCTTAAATTATAATAAGTATCAGTACTATGAAGACTGGGAATCCTCTATTAAAATAATCATTTGCTCATTTTCACAAGGTTGTGTTTTGCTGGACAATAAAATATAGAGCTACAGGCACTTGGTGCAAAAGCCTAGTAACCTGAGTTTGGTCCCTGGAACCCATAGTGGAAGGAGAGAGCTAACTTCCAAAAACTGTGCTATGAGCTACACACACACACACACACACACACACACACACAATAATAATAATAATAATAAGGGTAATAATAATAATAATAGGAGGAGGAGGATGTGACTGTAGTGCTGGTGGTGGGGGTACAAAGACAGGGATCCCCAAAGCTCACAGCCTAGTCAATCTGTAAGCACTAGGTTCTCAAAAATAAGGCTACAGTGCTGGAGAGATGGCTGAGCAGTTCAGAACACTTGTTCTTCCGGAGGACCCAGGTTTGGTCCAGCACCTACAAGGTGGCTAACAACCATCTGTAACTCCAGTTCCAGGGGATCTGACACACTCTTCTGGCCTCTGTGGGCATTGCACATAGGTGGTGCACTTACACATGTCCAGGCAAAGACATTTATACACATGAAAGAATAAATATGAACAAATCAAAATACTTTCAGTGATTTATAATAATAATAATAATAATAATAATAATAATAGGAGGAGGAGGAGGAGAAGGAAGAAGAAAACTTTTTTAAAAAATGAAAATACTGGGACCAGAACAATGGCTCAGTCATTAAAAGCAGTGGTTGCTCTTCCGCAGGACCTAGGTTTTGGTTCCCAGCACCCACATGACAGCTAAGCACTGTCCCTAAACTCCAGTTCTAGGGTATCCAATGCCCTCTTCTGGCCTCCGTGGACATTGCATGCTTGGGTGCACTTTCATCCATGCAGGTAAAACACTCATACACATTAAATAAAAATAAATTCCAAAAGAATTTTTTAAATATGAAAAGTTTAATGTGATTCAAAACTTACTGAGAAGAAAACATCGGGCTCCTCCTGTGCTGGATTCATGAGGCCGTTCTCATGTTCTTCCTTCTTTTCCAGGAACTTGTGTTTTGCCTTCTGTAGAAGACATGATGGATGACATTGATGAGAAAATGGGGAAAAAGCTCAAATGGTAAGGTATCTATTTAAAAGGTAGATCTAGAATTTGCATGGAAAAATCAATCAGAATCTGTCACTATTTAAAATTGATTTTGTCTTAAATGATCCTTAATAAATTCAATAGAGAAAAAGCTATGAACCACATTCATCCTCCCAAGAACCATTAGTGGAGATCTACTTCATACCTGTCATTGTATTAGGTCCTGCTAGGTGCAGGGTGAACACTAAGACTGAGAATCGTCATTGTACCTTTATCCCTGACTTTCTTCTGTGAACACACAAGAAAGGAAATGCAGAAGTGAGGAAATCAAAGAAGGTTGGGAACACATAGATGTGTGTTTGTGTGTGTGCATCTGTTCGTGTGTGAGTGTGTGTGTGTGTGTGTCAGTGTGTCAGTGTGTCAGGGTATGTGTGTGTGTGTGTGTGTGTGTGTGTGTGTGTGTATTCTCTAGCTCAGAAATGCTTTATGAGATACATGACATTGCAAGCAGATGCTTTAATGAAAATGACTCAACAGCATGGAAATGAATCTGGAAAATTAAGATCCATTCCTAGCTTTGTCACTAATTCACTCAATGGCTATGAATGGAGCTTAATTTTCCAGATTCAAGAAGACAAAAATGTTCTTATTGGGACTGGAGAGATGGCTCAGTGGTTAAGAGCACTGGCTGCTCTTACAGAGGACCTATGTTCAGTTCCCAGCACCCACATGGCCGCTAACAACTGCCTGTAACTCCAGTTCCAGGGGATCTGATGCTCTTTTCTGGCCTCCATGGACATTGCACACAGGGGTGCACTTAACATATATGCAGGCAAAACATTCACACATGTAAAATAAAAATAAGTCAATTTTTTTTATTAAAAAAATCGTCTTCACTGTTCTGCAGTGCTGGAAATTTTCCAAATGAGGTATGATAGCCCTTTGACAAAACTACAGAGTAAAGGATAAACAAACAATAGTCTCCTTAGTAACACAAGAGGATAACAATGATTACCCCTGATGGGAAGATGTGAGGTGATTTCTCTCTTCTTTTGTCTTTTTTTTCAGTCAATTGATTCTGATTTTTATTCTTATATTATTTCTTTTATCTCTTTTTTATTATTTGAAAGTTTTATACATGAATACAATGTGTTGTGATCAAATCCATACCCCAGTCCCTTACCTCCAATTCATCTCCTATCCCTCCCACCACTCCCCCACAACTTCAAGTGTTCTTTTGTTAAAAGACCCACTGAGTCCAGCCTGTATGTGCATGGGTATAGGACCATCTACTGGAGTCTAGGTAGATGGATCCAAATCTCTGAAGAAAACTGTCTCTCCATCCCCAGCAGTGATCAGTGTCAATAGCTCCTCACTAGGAGTGGTACTTCATGTGCCCCTCCTCTATCTGGGCTGGGATTTTGACTAGCTTGATCCTGTGCAGATCTCCATGTGCCCCAAGTCACTGTGAGTTCATTTGCAAGTGCTGTCACGTCTGGCAAATGCTGTTTTGCTTCAGACACCTCTGTCTTCTGGCGCTACATTCCTTCTATTCCTCTTCCTTGATGATTCTTGAGCCCTTTGTGTTTCTATACAAAGCTTGGTTATTATAATAATGTTTTCTTTCCCATCTCTAGGTTTGGCAAAAGTGAGACCATCCAGACAGATTATATTGTTTATATGGACGAACTGGCCTCCTTTATTGGGGCAAAGCCTGACATCCTACAGCTGTTCCTCACAGATCCCAGGTTGGCCATGGAAGTGTTCTTTGGCCCTTGTAGCCCCTACCAGTTCCGGTTAGTCGGTCCAGGGAAGTGGCCAGGGGCTAGACACGCCATCTTAACCCAGTGGGACCGGTCACTGAAACCTATGAAGACACGTGTCGTCAGGGGTGTTAAGACACTTTGCTTATTCTCCCAGTTGTTCAAGTTCCTTGCTATTGCTATTCTGTTAATTGCTCTTTTCCTTGTATTGGTCTAGTGATTATTCCTTCTAGAATTCTGACAGTTACTGACAATATCTAGGCAAGAACTTTGCTATTTAAAAGTTCAAATTTTCACAGCTCTTCCTTTCCTATTTAGGACCATTTGTCAGTAGGCATTAACCAGAGAAACAATGTTCTGGGTTTGTAAATAATCCCCTTTAAGATGATGGCCTGATCATCAAAGAATATAAATCATTTCTCTTTAAATCTTATTAACACTTCATAATGAGTATTATATTTTTATGTCTAACTTGAATCATCTCATGGAATATTTAGATATGATTCCTTTTCTCTTTTAAACAATATTTGAAATACATATTTCAAATCTAAACAAAGAATAAATTAAACAGAAGAACATTTAGAATATAATCTTCTCTAGCTGCCTCTATAAATCATTCATAGACATGGGGGGGAGACTTTGGCTATTACATTCTATTTTTATTTCATACAGAATACTCCAGAAAATGCCTCCTGTTTCCTAGTCAAGAAACACAGTATAGAAATCTGACCAATATTAAAGGTAAATGCAAACCAACATCCAGCAACAAAATAATCACAATAGTAAGTAGAGTATGCCTTTAGTTGAAATTGTTTCTTTCCCCTTCAGTGGAAAGTATGGAGTGGTGGTATTCACTCTGAGATTTTTGCATTTTCTGATATCCTGGATGCTAACCCGAGAATGTCCTTCCAAAAATGAGCTCAGTCCTCCTAAATGCAAAACTTAGCCAAACTTAACTTGCATTCCAATCTCTGCTTAAAAATCAATACTCTCATTATTCTACATAAAATGATAATGCGTTCGGACTCTCTAACCCCTCCCTTGCTTTGTTTTTCTTCATGACATCTTGCAGAGCCTGTATTTATTTGTGAATAATCTGTGCCCCCTCCTTAGAATGTAAGCTCTGAAGAGCAGGAACACTTTGTCCACTGCTGTATCCCCAGTGCCTGGAAGAGTACCTGACAACTAGTCCCCAGCCAATAAATATCTGCCATTCTTGTTGAAACCACAGTTTATTTGGCCTTAGTCAAATGTCTCAGTCACAGTCCATTAAGTAGAAAGGAGCAAGAACTGCTTATGCTTACAGAAGGCATTTTAAAATGTAAGTTTTCTTCTTTCTGTGATTTGACTATTATTATTGGTCCCAGGGGTCACTGAGATTAATGGTCCATAAGGTGGTACTGTTGGAAGATGATGGAGCCTTTCAAAGGTAGGGTCCAGCAGGAGGTCCCTGGGGATTGCAAACCTTTGGTCTCTCTTCTCTGTTCCTGGTCTGAGCTGCAGTTGTGCTGCTAGCTCAATGTGTTCTTACCATCACTATCTACCACAATGTCATGTAAACAAGAACCAAGAAATGCTAGGGTCTTGCCACTGAAACCCCCATCTGTGATCTGCCTCAAGTATTATATCACAGCAACAACAATCTAAGGAGAGTCATTATTCAAGAATAGTAAACAGCTGCTGTTGCAAAGACAGCTTGTTATGCTCACAGATTCCCTAGGGTATATGAGAAATTAAACAACATGCTTTAAAAATAAAAATAGATCACAGAGGAAAATCAAAAGGGAAATAAAAAATAATTTGATACGAAAATGGAATTGAAACAGACTAAAATGTATGGGATACAGCAAAAGCAGTTTAACAGGAAAAGTTATCATTATAAATGTCTATATCAGAGCAGAGGGAAAAAAATCTAAAGCTGAGCATGGTGGCTCACACCTATAACCCAGCATTTAAGAGGTAATGACATGAGGTTACAAGTTTGACCCTACCTCAGAAATAATAAAAATAGATGCAGGCACCTGAGAAAGGACAGCTGAAGTTGTTCTACACACACACACACACACACACACACACACACACACACATACACACGAGAGCAACAGAGACAAAGAAAGAGACAGAAGACTTAAATGTCATTTTAGCAAAACATGACTTCATAAAAATATTTTTGATCAATTTCTATATTGTATTTAAACTCTTTGGATATATGATTTTTAAAACTTAACTCTGAACATGGAAAACAGTCGTTTTAATGTCTTTCTGTATCTTAAAATTGATTCTAATATCACACCTCAAAGAACTAAAAAAAGAAGAACTAAGCTCAAGGTGGTCAGAAGGAAGGAAGGAAGTCAGAGCAGAAGTAAATGAGGTATACAGAGTAGGACAAAAAAACAACAAAACTAAGAGTTTGTTTTGTGAAAGAATAAAGAAAGAAAGGAGGAAGGAAGGAAGGAAGGAAGGAAGGGAGGAAGGAAGAAGGAAGGAAGGAAGGAGGAAAGAAGGAAGGAAGGGAGGAAGTAAGAATGAAGGAAGGAAGGAAGAAGGAAGGAAGGAGGAAGGAAGGAAGGAAGGAAGGGAGGAAGGAAGAAGGAAGGAAGGAGGAAGGAAGGAAGGAGGAAGGAAGGAAGGAAGGGGTTCTAACTAGGAATGAAAGAGACTAAAATAATACCAAATTAAAATTAGATCAGAACTAAACGAGAAAATATTAAAGGTGATACCATACTTCTAAGGAATTTTTTTAAAGTCATCAATCTTTTTTTCCAATTAATTATTTATATAATTAGAAGTATTTACATACTTAGAAGAAGCAGTTCATTACAACAGCATTGACATATTCAATAACAATTTTCTGAGCTAAGATGCATCTTTTTCAAAATTGGCTGTAAATTTTTAGTTTTACAGTTGAATTGTTAGTTATACAATATTGTACTCAGTATAAACCCTATAAGACATAAAATTGAATGAAGTTTTAACCTCATTCCATTTCATTATTAAAAGATCTCCATTTCATTATTAAAATACACAGTATCATACAGAAAAATTCATTTTCAATGCAATTGACATTAAGATGTTTGCACATGTGTTTCTAATCTCTACATATCTGATTATTACTAGTGACAATCGGCTGCTATCTGAGCTCCTTGGCATCTGAGCATGGATATAAAGTCATAAGGTAGATTTCAATGATAATGTTTTTCACATCTACTAATTATTAAGGAGCAAATTTTTATGCTTTG